TCTATTTACTTGTGACCATTCAGTGTACATTGAGTATCTTGTGTTATTTTTGCTTATTATCATCTGTTAGTAGTGCAGTGGTTGATAGTTCTATGATAGATTATTAACTGCAGCATTTTGAACATGCATTTTCAGGATGAAGGACGAGATGATTCAGCAGATGAGATTATTGCCCAGCATCTTGGTCTTCAACTTGTCTATCGACTACAGGTCCTTCAGCTTGTGGATCTTCTCCTAGCTTTTCATGCCAAAAGTAAGCTTCTTTTTTGTTCATAATATAATTTACTTTTAAAATCTAATGGTGAACATTACTACTCGTTAGTAAAGGTTTTTCTTCTTGCTTTGTATTATATAGAGTATACACATCACAGAATCTTCTGTTTAACAAATTCAAAAACCAAATTTACCAGTTAATACATTTTCTAATGATTTTCATCATTAAAAAGAACATAAAAATTTAGTACCACATATAATACAGAAATACGTGTAGATCAGCTTCATAAACAGTCAAAAGAAACTTGGAGTTTACAAGTTTTTTTTCCAGATATTTTAACACTTTACTAAATGAAATAGAATTTTTCCATTGAGGAGTAATTTATAACATACCTGATTCTCTCAAGTTTCAAAAATGAAGTTACAACTATTTAGGAATAAAATTCAACATTTTTGAGAAGTACCATACAAAATTGCATTTTTTAATATGAAGTAAGTATTAAAAAAGGTACAAATTAAATATTTGAATATATTTCATTTATTGAATTATTTTGTGATCTTATAGGTAATTCAAAAGAAGAACTTGATGACCCTGAAGCAGTACATCTTCTTCACCAACTGTACACCATGATGTTTACTGTTGCTGGGAAAACTGCCTTGGTCCATGTTTTAAGTTTGGAACAAAACTTGGAGGTTCTAATACCATTTGTTAAAGTTACAGGTAAGTATTGATATACTAAGAATTTTTTCCTTGCACTTTAGCACTGGTCCTGCCATCTATAATTAGTATTTTTACCATTTTCTAGTCTGCTTTCTTTATATAACAGCATCTGGGCGTGGTAAACTTCAGTTATAAAACCTTTAGCCAATCCTAGTCAAAGGTGTCAATTTCAGTACTATGTTATTTCAGTTCCTGTATTTCACATTTGACAAATCATAAGATGATAAGCAAAGCTCGTGATGAAACTTTGTTCTCTGGATTTTACAATATGAACGTGTGTGGTGCTTATTATAGTAACTGCCATTTTATGTAGAGGTTGTATTTAGTAATGGTCAATAGTACTTTTTTATAAGCCTTAGAAAATTTGCTCCCGAAAAAAATTGCATGGAATGTGTGTGACTTTTATGATTTTTGTATAGTAGCTTAAATAATGCTATATCGTATATCTACTAATATTAATCATTATGTTGAAAAATTAACTCAAAATGTATATGTTTTTAGGAAAGAAGTTGATCCACAAATGTTAGGGTTAAGATTTATTGAGTGGTGAGTGCATGGCCATGAATTAGGCTTAGCATTTTGAACTGAAAGAGTTTGATTTTTATATTCTTTTACATTTAAATTAGCAGTTTGAAGTTCAATAATTTAACATAATTTTATATTTAGTTCATAATATAAATATGATTCAGTATTTAGAATGATAACCTCGTGTGATTTGTACGCACTACTATTTTATATTTTTCCTTCTTACTATCTTTACTTGGTAATAAGACCCACACTTCTTTTGGTGTTGCTTTATAATTAAAACAGTCTAACTGATATATAAAAAGCTTATTCTGATATTTTGCAAATGGTTTAAAACTCAGTGTGCAAGTGACAACAATAAAACCCATATATTGGTTGTGAAACATACTAAACACATTCTTCTCAGTAATACAGGGGAAGCTGTGACATTCTCACAGTTGGGGTGTCAATACACTAAGAGCTTAAGTTTCGAATTCCAATATAAATCTTGCTTATAATGAGAGGAATATGACCAGGACTAATCTTTTAAGTGCTGTAAAGTGATTTTCTTTGTAATTTATGGTGTCTGTAATGTTTGGTAATCTCTTATAACAGGATGTATCATGTAACTTGGGTCAGACCACCTGTACTGTAAGCTATTACATACATTCACTAGTAGTGGCAATTAGTTTTGTCTGTATAGTGAAACAACAAAATAAACCTAAATTACCTTTTTTTTTCTAGAATGACTTCAAATTGTAACATAAAACTACATTCATTTATCCTAAGTAGCTCTAAGTTTGTAACAATATACATCTATTTATAATGAAATTTGATTATTTTATTGCCTTTTGAACCGTGTCTAACTACTACATGCACCACTATAAGTTATAAATCACTCGGGGAATGTGCAGCTCATGTTACGCTATCGAATTATATTATCCACGAACTGCTCACATACGTGCCTTGTGAACTATTTTAATTATGTTATTTTTATTACTTATTTTATCTAATCTAGTCTTAAATAACTTAAAAAGATCAGCATTTTTAGATTTTAGTTACTTTTACAATAATAAATAAAGAATATATATGAAAAACAAGAAATAAAGTACTTACCTAATCTTATTTCTTGCTATTGGGTTTTGAAGAGAGTTAACCCTAATTATTTATACTATGGATAGTAATGCACTTAATAATTTTTATTTAATTAAATAATGCACCAAAGAATATAGACTAATAACATGCGAAAAGTCAACAAATTCACTTACCTTTTAAAATTTTCTTGGCTTTCTAACTATGCGACAAGAGCCGTTACAAATTCATCCAAGCTAATCGTTAATTTTCCAATGGGAACAATGTTGCTACTCTGAGTGAAATTGAGGATTACCTGTTCAGAACACAACATTATACAATACGTCATATGATAGATGAAAACCTATTGGTTATAGCTAATATATAATGAAATGTAAGAGAGAACTATCAACGAATTGTGAAAGAGAGGATGTGACAAGCAGGTGTGGCAGGAAGGGTCTGATTTTTATTTGTTAGCTCTGTAACCAAACAAAATTGAAGACTATAAAAATTATGGTTTGTCTGAGCAATAACGATTTTATACAGAGTAATTTTGTACATTTTCGAGGGGTGATGGATAAAATAGGGATGATTACATGCTAAGACAAATTGTGTCATGTGGAAATTCAGGATTTTATTAAATATTCCCTTGTAGATTTAAGAACTTAAACATTGTATACTGTTAAAATATGGATTATT